TCTGGTCTGGACCAGTGTAAAACCATGAATCCTCTCTGCTCTGGTCTGGACCAGTGTAAAACCATGAATCCTCTCTGCTCTGGTCTGGACCAGTGTAAAACCATGAACACTGAACTGCAGTGACTGACTCGGGTTAGTAAAATGACCTGCTCTGAGGGACCTGGTCCAAACTTAGTCTCACTGTGTCTCTCTGAAATCGTTCTGTTTCCTGTGGATTCAGAACAGAAGTGGAAAAGAGAGATTCAGATTAAACTGGTCGTGTCTGGTTAGTCAGCTCGGCTCTTGGCTGTCGCTGCTGATCCCAGAGCACATGACACTCTGATAACTCACTTAGACACTCGGACAGAGACGAGACTTTCACAGAACAACATTCTGAACTACACCTGAAAAGAAGCACTGGTGTCAGGAGGCACTGGTGAAACACTGAAGAACAATCACAACAATCCACATCAGAGCAGATTTCATTCACAATGCTTGAAGAGCAAACTTAAAGAGTTTGACCCGCTTTGGTTCCTGGCAGAGACATGTGACCTCAGTGCTCCCAAAGGTTAACCTATAGTTTCCTCTTCTAATTCTGCAAAGCTGAAGAGCAGAGGCCTCAGCAGCTCGTGTGACGTCTGTTCCATCTGGGATGCGAGTCACACTGCTGTTGCATGCCATGGGCTCGACTTCCCCCTCTCAATGGCATGTGTGGTCCCCTCATGTAAGACAGGGATATGTTGCTCAACTGGGCAACCTGACCCTGGTGGGGGGCACATACCAGAGCTCCTATAGGTCTGTACACAGAGGACTGCAGCGACCACTCCAGTTCCTAGAACAGAGGAGGTGTCCGCGGGAAGGGAGGGCGACCCTGGCCCCCGGCCAACGGGCCATGGACACAACAACATATATCACCACAGGGAGCAAAGGAGGAGATGGTGCCGAGACAGCAGCAGAGAGGCACAGAGGAGGCGCAAGACATGCAACACAGAGAGGCACAGAGGAGGCGCAACACAGAGAGGCACAGAGGAGGCGCAAGACATGCAACACAGAGAGGCACAGAGGAGGCGCGACACAGAGAGGCACAGAAGAGGCGCAAGACATGCAACACAGAGAGGCACAGAGGAGGCGCAAGACATGCAACACAGAGAGGCACAGAGGAGGCGCAAGACATGCAACACAGAGAGGCACAGAGGAGGCGCAAGACATGCAACACAGAGAGGCACAGAGGAGGCGCAACACATGCAACACAGAGAGGCACAGAGGAGGCGCGAGACATGCAACACAGAGAGGCACAGAGGAGGCGCAAGACATGCAACACAGAGAGGCACAGAGGAGGCGCAAGACATGCAACACAGAGAGGCACAGAGGAGGCGCAAGACATGCAACACAGAGAGGCACAGAGGAGGCGCAACACATGCAACACAGAGAGGCACAGAGGAGGCGCGAGACATGCAACACAGAGAGGCACAGAGGAGGCGCGAGACATGCAACACAGAGGAGGCGCAACACTGAGAGGCACAGAGGAGGCGTGAGACATGCAACACTGAGAGGCACACAGGCTGAAGACATACAAAACTGAGACACACACAGCCTGAAGACACACAACACTGAGACACACACAGGCTGAAGACACACAACACTGAGACACACACAGGCTGAAGACACACAACACTGAGACACACACAGCTGAAGACACACAACAGCTGAGACACACAACAGCTGAGGACACACAACACTGAGACACACACAGGCTGAAGACATACAAAACTGAGACACACACAGGCTGAAGACACACAACACTGAGACACATCCTGTATGTGTGTGTTCATACAGTGTGTGTGCGTCCTGTACTGTATGTGTATATGTGTGTGTGTGTGTGTTCATACAGTGTGTGTGCGCGTCCTGTATTGTGTGTGTGTGTGCGTCCTGTATGTGTATGTGTGTGTGTGTGTGTGCGTCCTGTATGTGTATGTGTGTGTGTGCGTCCTGTATGTGTGTGTGTGTGTGTGTGTGTGTGCGTCCTGTTTGTGTGTGTGTGTGTGTGTGTGTGCGTCCTGTATGTGTGTGTGTGTGTGTGTGAGGACAGTAAGTGCTGTGGTCTATGGAACACTCTCATTGAGCTGAGTCTCTGCAAGTGCTTTATTTTTGGCACAAACACAAACCTGAAAACACTGCATTAGTGCGAGAGGTTTAATGGAGGCTCAGGAGCACAGCAGCTGAACACACACACACACACTGTATGTACACACACATACTGTATGTGCACACACACACACACTGTATGTACACAAACATATACATACTGTATGTACACACACACACACACACACACACATACTGTATGTGCACACAGACACACACACACATACTGTATACGCACACACACACACATACTGTATGTGCAGACACACTGTATGTACACAAACATATACATACATACATATACATGTACACACGCACACACACACACACACACATACTGTATGTGCACACACACACACACACACACACACATACTGTATGTGCACACAGACACACACACACATACTGTATACGCACACACACACACATACTGTATGTGCACACACACTGTATGTACACAAACATATACATACATACATATACATGTACACACGCACACACACACACACACACATACTGTATGTGCACACACACACACACACTGTATGTACACAAACATATACATACTGTATGTACACACGCACACACACACACACACACACATACTGTATGTGCACACACACACACTGTATGTACACAAACATATACATACTGTATGTGCACACAGACACACACACACATACTGTATGTGCACACACACACACTTTATGTACACACGCATATACATACTGTATACGCACACACACACACACGTGATACACACAGTGTACAGACATACACAGGTGCCCAGACCCAGTCTGAGTGTGTGATTGTGTTTGCAGCACTGGACCGTGTTCACAGAAGTGTCTGAGGTCTTCATCCTGGTTCCTGCTCTGCTCGGTCTGAAGGGAAACCTGGAGATGACTCTGGCTTCTCGACTTTCCACCGCGGTCAGTCTCTGCTTCACTGAACACTCCACCCTGCATTTAACCTGTTCAGACTCAGGGATCTGAAACACCCCCTGCCCTGTGCACCTGCCCCCACCCTCTGCCCTGTGCACCTGCCCCCACCCTCTGCCCTGTGCACCTGCCCCCACCCCCTGCCCTGTGCACCTGCCCCCACCCTCTGCCCTGTGCACCTGCCCCCACCCTCTGCCCTGTGCACCTGCCCCCACCCTCTGCCCTGTGCACCTGCCCCCACCCCCTGCCCTGTGCACCTGCCCCACGCCCTGTGCACCTGCCCCACCCTCTGCCCTGTGCACCTGCCCCCACCCTCTGCCCTGTGCACCTGCCCCCACCCTCTGCCCTGTGCACCTGCCCCCACCCTCTGCCCTGTGCACCTGCCCCCACCCTCTGCCCTGTGCACCTGCCCCCACCCTCTGCCCTGTGCACCTGCCCCCACCCTCTGCCCTGTGCACCTGCCCCCACCCCCTGTGCACCTGCCCCCACCCTCTGCCCTGTGCACCTGCCCCCACCACTCTGCCCTGTGCACCTGCCCCCACCCCCTGACCTGCCCCCTGACCTGCCCCTGACCTGCCCCCTGACCATTGACCATTGACCATTGTATTAGGCTGAACACCTGACATACTTGAAAGCTCTGTCTCAGTCGTGGCTGTTTCTCAGGTACAGAGTCCGTGTTTCTCTGAAGCAGAAATTCTCACATTCTTTCCGCTCTCGGTGGAAAACAACTGACAAAGCTGATTATCTTTGACCTGAGCCACAGCATGGACTCACAATTAGCACCACACTTCTTCACTACTGTCTGTAGAGTTAGAGTTTGACTTCAAAGATAGAGGTCCATGAAATCTGAGCTCAGAGATTTTAACATCCACCTGTTGTCGTTATGAACATTAGTCATTTTCACATCACTATCATCAGATTAAAACCTCTGATTGTTACAGATTATCAGATTAAAACCTCTGATTGTTACAGAATCATGTAATCCTCTCGTTGGCTCTTAAAGTAGCAACATGTAAGATTTTCCTGTCCAGTCATGTTTAAAGAGCCTCTGTCATCATTAAAGGGCCCTAATCTGTCATCATTAAAGGGCCCTATAATCTGTCATGATTAAAGGGCCCTAATCTGTCCTCATTAATGGGCCCTAATCTGTCATCATTAAAGGGCCCTAATCTGTCATCATTAAAGGGCCCAAAAATGTCATCATTAAAGGGCTCATATCTGTCATCATTAAAGGGCCCAAATCTGTCATCATTAAAGGGCCCTAATCTGTCATTAAAGGGCCCTAATCTATCACCATTAAAGGGCCCTAAACTGTCACCATTAAAGGGCTCTAATCTGTCATAATTAAAGGGCCCAAATCTGTCATAATTAAAGGGCCCTAATCTGTCATAATTAAAGGGCCCTAATCTGTCATCATTAAAGGGCCCTAATCTGTCAGGGCCCTAATCTGTCATAATAATAATCTGCTCTTTTCCAATACTTATTTAACTGATAACAGTATTTCAGAGATATTTGAATTTCTAAATTACTTTTCCAGCCTCTAAATCTTGTTATTGTTTTCATTTCGATGTCCCGCCCTCCACCGTTTCACCAATCAGAAAGTCTGTGATCCGGGCGCCAGAACTCACGCGTGGAGCTAATCTCACTGGTAAAGTACCATGTGGCGCAGAACTAAAAAAAAGTCTCGTTATGATTCTCAAATCATTAACGACAAAACAAGGAATAAAACCAGGATTTCTATCTTTGTGAAAAAGGTGTTGGTTATAGATGACAGATTAGGGCCCTTGAATGATGACAGATTAGGGCCCTTTAATGATGACTGATTAGGGCCCTTTTATGATGACTGGACATAAAAATCTTACATATTGCTACTTTAACACTGGCTCCTTAGAAGACTAGGATAATAAAGAAATAAAGCATCATAAAGAAACAAGTATAAATGTTATTATGTTAAAGTGTAAAGTGGGTAAAGACAGAGACAGCAGTAGCCCGGCCTTATCCGTCCGTACACTCCGTTCAATCATCATGTCCTGCATGTAACGTCTGGGTCTGGTCCCTGTGTTAGCGATTACGATCGGTTGAATTTTGACCGACCAATCAGAGAGCGCGGAAGGCGGGTGTTGTAGTTAGATGTGGGTGACGTCAAGAGTTAGCGTTGAACAGGAAGGTTGTAGTTTGGTAATGGTGAAAAATGCGATAGTAAAGTAATCCGGTCTGGTTCTATCAAGAAATTGAAGCCGGAGCAAGAGGAATGTTTCGAAAATGTAATCGCTAGAAAAAGTTGTGGCGCTACTCCCCACAGGCTCCGTTAGCGGAAAAGGAGTGGGCTAGGCTAAAGCTAAATGCTAACGACTCACTCGGGCGCATTACATACGTCACGGTAAACTCAGATCCAATCGTTTCAATCTGCAAAAGGAGTTAGCCCCTCCCACCTGTTCACGGAGTCAATGGAGCAAATCCAGACCTCAGTATGAAATGAAATGTGTACTATGGTGTGGTACGACCAGGCTAAGACAGCAGTGATGAGTGTAAAGTGTGTAGAGACAGACAGCAGTGTAAAGTGTGTAGAGACAGACAGCAGTGTAAAGTGTGTAGAGACAGACAGCAGTGTAAAGTGTGTAGAGACAGACAGCAGTGTAAAGTGTGTAGAGACAGACAGCAGTGTAAAGTGTGTAGAGACAGACAGCAGTGTAAAGTGTGTAGAGACAGACAGCAGTGTAAGTGTGTAGAGACAGACAGCAGTGTAAAGTGTGTAGAGACAGACAGCAGTGTAAAGTTGTGTAGAGACAGACAGCAGTGTAAAGTGTGTAGAGACAGACAGCAGTGTAAAGTGTGTAGAGACAGACAGCAGTGTAAAGTGTGTAGAGACAGACAGCAGTGTAAAGTGTGTAGAGACAGACAGCAGTGTAAAGTGTGTAGAGACAGACAGCAGTGTAAAGTGTGTAGAGACAGACAGACAGTGTAAAGTGTGTAGAGACAGACAGCAGTGTAAAGTGTGTAGAGACAGACAGCAGTGTAAAGTGTGTAGAGACAGACAGCAGTGTAAAGTGTGTAGAGACAGACAGCAGTGTAAAGTGTGTAGAGACAGACAGCAGTGTAAAGTGTGTAGAGACAGACAGCAGAGTAAAGTGTGTAGAGACAGACAGAAGTGTAAAGTGTGTAGAGACAGACAGCAGTGTAAAGTGTGTAGAGACAGACAGCAGTGTAAAGTGTGTAGAGACAGACAGAAGTGTAAAGTGTGTAGAGACAGACAGCAGTGTAAAGTGTGTAGAGACAGACAGCAGTGACCAGTGTAAAGTGTGTAGAGACAGAGACAGCAGTGTAAAGTGTGTAGAGACAGACAGTGTAAAGCAGTGTAAAGTGTGTAGAGACAGACAGCAGTGTAAAGTGTGTAGAGACAGACAGCAGTGTAAAGTGTGTATAGACAGACAGCAGTGTAAAGTGTGTAGAGACAGACGCAGTGTAAAGTGTGTAGAGACAGACAGCAGTGTACAGTGTGTAGAGACGACAGCAGTGTAAAGTGTGTAGAGACAGACAGCAGTGTAAAGTGTGTAGAGACAGACAGCAGTGATCGCAGCTGCCCAGATGTTGCTCTTCCTGCTGCAGATGTAAATGTTGGTGGATCAGTCTCTGCTCGGACACTGAGGCTCTGTGGCCACGGTCTGAGCAGGACGAGAGAGCGTGAGAGAGCTGACCACAGATGAGATAAGTGCAGCCATAAAAGCTGCTTTGTCTCAAGAACTGTCCTGTTATTGTTCCACCGGCCGAAAGAAAACACTGACACTCGGCTGCTGTGTTCCAGGCAAACATCGGACTCATGGACACCACCAAAGACATGTGGAAGATGATCATGGGCAACCTGGCTCTGATTCAGGTCTGACTGCCACCCCTTACACCTGTGTACACCTGTTTACACCTGTGTACACCTGTGTACACCTGTTTACACCTGTTTACACCTGTTTACACCTGTTTACACCTGTTTACACCTGTTTACACCTGTTTACACCTGTTTACACCTGTTTACACCTGTTTACACCTGTGTACACCTGTTTACACCTGTTTACACCTGTTTACACCTGTTTACACCTGTTTACACCTGTTTACACCTGTGTACACCTGTTTACACCTGTTTACACCTGTTTACACCTGTGCACACCTGTGTACACCTGTTTACACCTGTGCACACGTGTGTACACCTGTTTACACCTGTTTACACCTGTGTACACCTGTGCACACCTGTGTACACCTGTTTACACCTGTGCACACCTGTGCACACCTGTGCACACCTGTTTACATAAGAAAAATATCTCAGTTTATTGGTCCCACAGAAATGTCAGTGTCATTGTTCATTTATTCTTAAAGGGGCAGTAAGCGATGTTAACTTAGCCGTAGCACCAACTGGAAACGACTCCCCCTCCCCTCCCTCTCCACCAAACCACTCCCCCCTCCCCTCCCTCTCCACCAAACCACTCCCCCCCTCCCCTCCCTCTCCACCAAACCACCCCCCCTCCCCTCCTCTCTCCACCAAACCACTCCCCCCTCCCCTCCCTCTCCACCAAACCACTCCCCCTCCCCTCCTTCTCCACCAAACCACTCCCTCCCCCCCCCCCTCCCCTCTCCACCAAACCACTCCCCCTCCCCTCCTTCTCCACCAAACCACTCCCCCCCCCTCCTTCTCCACCAAACCACTCCCCCCTCCCCCTCCTTCCACCAACCACTCCCCCTCCCCTCCTTCTCCACCAAACCACTCCCCCTCCCCCCCTCCCCTCCTTCTCCACCAAACCACTCCCCCCTCCCCTCCCTCTCCACCAAACCACTCCCCCCCCCCCCTCCCCTTCTCCACCAAACCACTCCCCCTCCCCTCCTCTCCACCAAACCACTCCCCCCCTCCCCTCCCTCTCCACCAAACCACTCCCCCCCCCTCCCCCCTCTCCACCAAACCACTCCCCCTCCCCTCCCTCTCCACCAAACCACTCCCCCTCCCCTCCTCTCCACCAAACCACTCCCCCCCTCCCCTCCTTCTCCACCAAACCACTCCCCCCCCCCTCCCCCCCCTCTCCACCAAACCACTCCCTCCCCCCCTCCCCTCCCTCTCCACCAAACCACTCCCCCTCCCCCCCCCCCTCTCCACCAAACCACTCCCCCTCCCCTCCTTCTCCACCAAACCACTCCCCCTCCCCTCCTTCTCCACCAAACCACTCCCTCCCCCCCCCCCTCCTCTCCACCAAACCACTCCCCCTCCCCTCCTTCTCCACCAAACCACTCCTCCCCCCTCCCCTCCCTCTCCACCAAACCACTCCCCCCTCCCCTCCTTCTCCACCAAACCACTCCCCCTCCCCTCCTTCTCCACCAAACACCCCCCCCCCCCTCCCCTCCTTCTCCACCAAACCACTCCCTCCCCCCCTCCCCTCCTCTCCACCAAACCACTCCCCCCTCCCCTCCTTCTCCACCAAACCACTCCCCCTCCCCCCCTCCCCTTCCTCTCAACCAAACCACTCCCCCTCCCCTCCTTCTCCACCAAACCACTCCCCCCTCCCCCCTCCCTCTCAACCAAACCACTCCCCCTCCCCTCCTTCTCCACCAAACCACTCCCTCCCCCCCTCCCCTCCCTCTCCACCAAACCCTCCCCCCTCCCCTCCTTCTCCACCAAACCACTCCCCCTCCCTCCCTTCTCCACCAAACCACTCCCCCCTCCCCTCCTTCTCCACCAAACCACTCCCCCTCCCCTCCCCTCCCTCTCCACCAAACCACTCCCCCCCCCCTCCCCTCCCTCTCCACCAAACCACTCCCCCCTCCCCTCCCTCTCCACCAAACCACTCCCCCTCCCCTCCCTCTCCACCAAACCACTCCCCCCCCCCTCCCCTCTCCACCAAACCACTCCCCCCCCCTCCCTCTCCACCAAACCACTCCCTCCCCCCCCTCTCCACCAAACCACTCCCCCTCCCCCCCTCCCTCTCCACCAAACCACTCCCCCCCCCTCCCCTCCTTCTCCACCAAACCACTCCCTCCTCCCCTCCTCTCCACCAAACCACTCCCCTCCCCCTCCCCCTCCTTCTCCACCAAACCACTCCCCCCCCCCTCCTCTCCACCAAACCACTCCCCCTCCCTCCCCTCTCTCAACCAAACCACCCCCCCCCCCCCCCCCTCTCCACCAAACCACTCCCCCTCCCCTCCTCTCCACCAAACCCACCCCCCCCTCTCCACCAAACCACTCCCCCTCCCCTCCTTCTCCACCAAACCACTCCCCCCCTCCACCCACTCCCTCTCCACCAAACCACTCCCTCCTCCCCCCTCTCCACCAAACCACTCCCCCCCCCCCCTCCCCTCCCCAACCCAAACCACTCCCCCTCCCCTCCTTCTCCACCAAACCCACTCCCCCTCCCCTCCCTCTCCACCAAACCACTCCCTCCTCCCCTTCCCTCCACCAACCACCCCCACCCCTCCTCCCCCCCCTCCCTCTCCACCAAACCACCACTCCCTCCCCCCTCCCCCTCCCTCTCCACCAAACCACTCCCCCCCCCCTCCTTCTCCACCAAACCACTCCCTCCCCTCCCCTCCTTCTCCACCAAACCACTCCCTCCCCCCCTCCCCTCCTTCTCCACCAAACCACTCCCCCCTCCCCTCCTTCTCCACCAAACCACTCTCCCCCCCTCCCCTCCTTCTCCACCAAACCACTCCCTCCCCCCCTCCCCTCCCTCTCCAACCAAACCACTCCCCCTCCCCTCCTTCTCCACCAAACCACTCCCCCTCCTCCCCTCCTTCTCCACCAAACCACTCCCCCCCCCCCCCCCCCTCCTCTCCACCAAACCACTCCCCCCCCCCCTCTGCACCAAACCACTCCCCCCCTCCCTCTCCACCAAACCACTCCCCCTCCCCTCCTTCTCCACCAAACCACTCCCTCCTCCCCTCCTTCTCCACCAAACCACTCCCTCCCTCTCCACCAAACCACTCCCCCTCCCTCTCCACCAAACCACTCCCTCCTCCCCTTCCTCTCCACCAAACCCACTCCCTCCTCCCCTCCCCTCCCTCTCCACCAAACCACTCCCTCCCCCCCTCCCCTCCCTCTCCACCAAACCACTCCCCCTCCCTCCCCTCCCTCTCCACCAAACCACTCCCTCCCCCCCTCCCCTCCCTCTCCACCAAACCACTCCCCCTCCTTCTCCACCAAACCACTCCCTCCTCCCCTCCTTCTCCACCAAACCACTCCCCCCCCCCCTCCCCTCCTTCTCCACCAAACCACTCCCCCCTCCCCTCCTTCTCCACCAACCACTCCCTCCCCCCCTCCCCTCCTTCTCCACCAAACCACTCCCTCCCCCCCTCCCCTCCCTCTCAACCAAACCACTCCCCCTCCCCTCCTTCTCCCACCAAACCACTCCCTCCTCCCCTCCTTCTCCACCAAACCACTCCCTCCCCCCTCCCCTCCCTCTCCACCAAACCACTCCCCCTCCCTCTGCACCAAACCACTCCCCCTCCTTCTCCACCAAACCACTCCCTCCTCCCCTCCTTCTCCACCAAACCACTCCCTCCCTCTCCACCAAACCACTCCCCCTCCCTCTCCACCCAAACCACTCCTCCCTCCCCTTCTTCTCCACCAAACCACTCCCTCCTCCCCTCCTTCTCCACCAAACCACTCCCTCCTCCCCTCCCTCTCCACCAAACCACTCCCTCCTCCCCTCCTTCTCCACCAAACCAAACATCCAGAATTTTCTTTTCTTGGTTCCAACAGGGAGAGTGGAGCAAACGTGAAATTGGCATTTTCTGTTCAGCCATTTTAGGTTTTAGAAAATAATCCGATAACTCCGGTGCACTCAGAGAAACAGGAAGAGGGTGAAGGCGGTAAACACATCCTATTGGTACATTTTTATCAGTCCGCTCCAAAATATTTTTAAATTCACTTTTGTAGACTACAGACATCTGGCCAATTCCATCACTATTTGAAAACACATGATAACTTTATACTTTTAGGGTTTAGGGACGTTTTCACACAATATTTAGACAAATCCCTGACTGCATCTTTAAGTACAGCTACAGTAACTGGATTATAAGTGTTGTAGACTGAGAGCCCCAACCCTTGAGTATAATATTATAATTGTTTTCAACACAAGTTAAAGAACACATTGAATATTTTACTAGAAACAGGCCCAAAATACTTTTAATCTTGTAAATAGAGCTGATCTAAGTTGCGGCAGGGAGGATAGATTATTCCAGTCATGAGCCGCTTTAAATCAAAATGCCGTCTTGTGTGTGGTTCTAAATGGAACCATGTGTTGTTTTAAGTAACCAGGACCAACTAGACCTGTTATTTAAGATAATAGACAATAAAGTTAAAATAATAACTTACAGATGTGAATACTTTAGCAGCGGATGTGTGAGCAGAAGAAACATTAGTAACAGTAGCAGCAGAATGACAGAACATCAGATGAATGGATCTGTAATAACGCTTTAGTAATGATAATAATAATAATAATAATAACACGTACAGTGACTAATTATTATCAGTGACACAGACTCAGCAGTTCTCGTTATACAGTCTGACAGCAGCAGGGAGGAGGAGCCTGTGAAACCTCTCCTTCATACAACGATATAAACTGGTTACAGATCAAAATGAAGTTAGAGCAAGAACCACGTAATCTGATTCTGATCTGAGCTGAACACTGCGTAAAGGGAAGAAAAAGAAGTCAAAAATGGATAAAATGTTGTAAAATGTATCTTAATTTAATCACTTTTATTTTATTATCATACATTTTCAATCTTTTTGATTTTTGATTAATTGTTGCCTTGTTACGTTTTGGAAAAATGGAATTCAAAAGGCAAAAATGAAACCAATTTTTCACTACTTTATAACAAGATTTTCCAACGGGACAAAGCAAAAGGTTTTTTTTTTTTTTTTTTTTTTTGAAACAGAAAGTTCTCCCTTGGAATGAGAAAATACAGTTTTTGAACCAAGTCTAAATGTCTTTGACCCGTTGGAGAATGTGGTTTTAACACAGTCAGAATATGCTTACCTCATATTTCAGTGAAGGGTCAAGCCTCTAGTTACAGACAGGAACAGACCAGATTATATTCTCATTTTTCACACATTAAGTTTGTGTCTTGATCCATCAGTTTCATTTAAAATAATACACGTCATTGATAAAAAAATCATTTCATGCACAAGTTTATTGCACTTTGTGTATCTGTCAGGAATGAAGCAGACAGAGACGATCGTGGCGCGCCAAGCTCTGCAAGTTTACAATGTTTCTCTCAAGTTCCAGTGGTTTCTGATGTTTCTTTCTCTCAGACAAAATGGAGTCAGTACACAGTTTATATAGTCATTGTTATGTCACACGTGGAAAAGACATACGTGTCAAATCAGAGACACTCAGAGCATATCATAGTCATAACATGGATACACCATCAGAGTCTGCCAAGTGTCTTGTCCTGCACGTAGGCCAGAGAGCTTTCTAATCCTTGTAAATAATAGTTCATTTGCAAAAACAGGAAAGTAATGCATCAGATTTATCCAGCGTCTCACATGTCATTATTTATTCTCTCCAAACACTGTGGTGATAAACTACTGTAGCCACAGCTGCCCTGGGGCACACTGACAGAAGCGAGGCAACCAGTCTGAGCCATCGGCCCCTCCCACCACCACCAACCATTCACACACACACAGACTCATTCTAATGTGGGGGAAGTGTCTTGCCCAAGGACACAACCACAGTTTGGAACTTTACAGCCGCAGCCGCCCCACCGTGGCACCTGCTGTTCTCAGAGGTCTCCCATCACAGCACTAACCAGGCCCTGCCCTGCTTAACTTCAAAGGTCGGACGGGATCTGGCCTATTTATTTATATAGCACATAATAAATAAATAAAAAGCTTCCAAAGTGCTGCACAGAGATACAATCAACACATTCACATTAACAGGTTTGCCAGCCTTATGTTTAAAGAATATAGAAGTAAAACATTATGCGCAGAGTAAAAACAATAAAAGACCTTCTTCATGTGCACTTTCCAACCTTGTCCTTGGATTATCTACGAACTACCGCCTCTCTCCTGTCCTGAAGTAGTTCCTGAAGTGGTCATGTGGTTACATAACATCAGCCGTACTTCTGAGAACACTTACACCGCGACTATTTAGGGTCATCAAGCACGCGCTCTCACGGGCTGTTACCATCTGAGCCCGTGTCATGTGGACCAGACCCAGGACTCACGTGCCTCTGCCTCGCCCCAGGTCCAGGCCACGGTGGTGGGCTTCCTGGCGTCCATCGCGGCGGTGATCTTTGGCTGGATCCCAGAGGGCCACTTCAGACTGGGCCACGCCGTGCTGCTCTGTGCCTCCAGCGTCGCCACGGCTTTTATCGCCTCTTTGCTGCTCGGTGAGACCGGGGGGAAATTTCAGGGTTGCATCGCAATTACAGAGCAGTAGGAATGAGGAGAACGCAGCATAAGATACATGAACAATAACTCTATGATAAAGAAGCTAGTATAAAATCTCTAGCTTTAGCATGATAAAGAAGCTAGTATAAAATCTCTAGCTTTAGCATAATAAAGAAGCTAGTATAAAATCTAGCTTTAGCATAATAAAGAAGCTAGTATAACATCTCTAGCTTTAGCATAATAAAGAAGCTAGTATAAAATCTAGCTTTAGCATAATAAAGAAGCTAGTATAAAATCTCTAGCTTTAGCATAATAAAGAAGCTAGTCTAAAATCCTGTACAATCTGGTGCATAATTCTATACAGTTGTTGTATGTTTACATCTGGGACAAAGTGACAGTGACTCATGTGGTTGTATTTTGCACATTTTGACCGTGTTTCCTTCGTTACTCTCAGGTCTCATCATGATCGGCGTCATCATCGCGGCCCGGAAAGTTGGCATAAACCCGGACAATGTGGCTACACCCATCGCCGCCAGTTTGGGAGATCTGATCACGCTCTCGCTGCTCGCTGGGATCTCCACGGGACTGTACAAGGAGCTAGGTACAAGCAAGACGGCGATCTGAGCACATATGTGTTCTCCATGGATCTAGAATGATATCTGCATAGAGTATTACTAGCTTATAGCTGTCCCACCCATGGCCACAGGGGGCGCTGTGGTACTGCAGACTAAATTCACGTTACCCATAAAAAAGTCCCATAGAACTCAATGTAAACTAAAACAGCTCAACCTCAGAGAACCTGACAGAGAACCTGACAGAGAACCTGACAGAGAACCTGACAGAGAACCTGACAGAGAACCTGACCGCGAACCTGACAGAGAACCTGACAGAGAACCTGACAGAGAACCTACAGAGAACCTGACAGAGAACCTGACAGAGAACCTGACAGAGAACCTGACCGAGAACCTGACCGAGAACCTGACAGAGAACCTGACCGAGAACCTGACAGAGAACCTGACCGAGAACCTGACAGAGAACCTGACAGAGAACCTGACAGAGAACCTGACAGAGAACCTGACAGAGAACCTGACAGAGAACCTGACAGAGAACCTGACCGAGAACCTGACCGAGAACCTGACAGAGAACCTGACAGAGAACCTGACAGAGAACCTGACAGAGAACCTACAGAGAAGCTGACAGAGAACCTGACAGAGAACCTACAGAGATCCTGACAGAGAACCTACAGAGAACCTGACAGAGAACCTGACAGAGAACCTACAGAGAACCTGACAGAGAACCTGACAGAGAACCTGACAGAGAACCTGACAGAGAACCTGACAGAGAACCTGACAGAGAACCTGACAGAGAACCTGACAGAGAACCTGACAGAGAACCTGACAGAGAACCTGACAGAGAACCTGACAGAGAACCTGACAGAGAACCTGACAGAGAACCTGACAGAGAACCTGACCGAGAACCTGACCGAGAACCTGACAGAGAACCTACAGCTTTCATAAAGGTCGGATTTTGCATCATGCATCATGGGAGCTCGTCCACTGCAAAAAAAACCAGGAGAACTGGACGATGCCCAAATATGGGCGAGTTCCACCAGGAGCTACCATTAGCTTGCCACCCCCTTCAAAGTATCTCCCCAAAGGATAGTTTTATGGGTAACTATAAAAATGGCCGTTTCTTTGCACTAATAAATGCCAAAAACAAAGATAGAAATCCTCAAAATTCACCAATGGGACAAAGCCATTTAGTCTTATTTTCATTTTATTTTTTTACTTTATTTTTAACATTTTGAACATTTTGGAAACATTCAAAAACAAAACAAAAATACAGAGCACACACAGAGATTGGATTAGATATACATGTACAGCAGATGACATTATTTCGAATAGCAGATCAATTTAGTCTTATTTTGCTTTATTTTCACATTTCAAGGGGACACTGTATCTTTTTAAACCAACAACTTTTTGTCCATGTCGTCGGCCCCTGGACAGGTCTGGTCCTTACTATGATGTATAGATGTTTATTCTGAACCTGCACAACACAAACATTCACACATTTCCCTAAAACAGACACATGATGATGACCCAGGACATCATGTATGGACTTCATCATGTCTGTCCCCCGCTCTCTGCCTCCTCTGGACCAACAGTGTTTTGTATCACTGCATTTCTTGTTTGATTTTCTGATCTGTGTTGGTGAATCGACATCTTGGTAAAGTCCTCCAGGATAAGAGTGAGGGCGTTCAGAGGGACTGTGCTCATGCCACAGCGAGGTACTATAGTCACTTGGTTTGGCTTGTTTTGGTTCAGACGCACATAAACACAGCTGGTGTCTTGGGCTTTTGCACATTCCCTCGCTGGTCTGTGGACGTGGAGGAGGCACAGCGGCAGCAGCAGCCACAGCGCCCCCCACAGGGCAGAATACACAGGAATGCGATTCACTTTTCACATCCTGATAAAAGCTGTATAAATATGTGGATAGTGTGGGGGAAAACCGGTGATTCCACATCAATGCAAATCAGATCAAGTGATATATGTGGGAATGAATGTGTCTCTGTCTGTGTCTGTGTCTCTGTCTGTGTCTGTGTCTCTCTATGTCTGTCTGTGTCTCTATCTCTCTATGTCTGTCTGTGTCTCTATCTCTCTATGTCTGTCTGTGTCTGTGTCTCTCTATGTCTGTGTCTGTGTCTCTATCTCTCTATGTCTGTCTGTGTCTCTATCTCTCTATGTCTGTCTGTGTCTCTGTCTCTATCTCTCTATGTCTGTCTGTGTCTCTATCTCTCTATGTCTGTGTCTGTGTCTCTATCTCTCTATGTCTGTCTGTGTCTGTGTCTCTATCTCTCTATGTCTGTCTGTGTCTCTATCTCTCTATGTCTGTGTCTGTGTCTCTATCTCTCTATGTCTGTCTGTGTCTGTGTCTCTATCTCTCTATGTCTGTCTGTGTCTCTGTCTGTGTCTCTCTATGTCTGTCTGTGTCTCTGTCTGTGTCTCTCTATGTCTGTCTGTGTCTCTATCTCTCTATGTCTGTCTGTGTCTCCATCTCTCTATGTCTGTCTGTGTCTCTATCTCTCTATGTCTGTCTGTGTCTGTCTGTGTCTCTGTCTGTGTCTCTGTCTCTGTCTGTGTCTCTATCTCTCTATGTCTGTCTGTGTCTCTGTCTGTGTCTCTGTCTGTGTGTGTGTCTGTGTCTCTGTCTGTCTGTGTCTGCGTCTCTGTCTTTCTATGTCTGTGTGTGTCACTGTTTCTGTCTATGTCTCGGTCTGTGTCTCTATCTCTCTATGTCTGTCTGTGTCTCTATCTGTGTCTGTCTGTGTCGGTCTGTGTCTCTGTCTGTGTCTGTGTCTCTCTATGTCTGTCTGTGTCTCTGTCTGTGTCTGTCTGTGTCTGTCTGTGTCGGTCTGTGTCTCTGTCTGTGTCTGTCTGTGTCGGTCTGTGTCTCTGTCTGCGTCTGTGTCTCTCTATGTCTGTCTGTGTCTCTGTTTCTGTCTATGTCTGTCTGTATCTGTGTCTTTGTCTCTCTATGTCTGTCTCTGTCTCTCTATGTCTATCTGTGTCTCTCTATATCTGTCTGTGTCTCTGTCTGCGTCTGTGTCTCTCTATGTCTGTCTGTGTCTCTGTTTCAGTCTATGTCTCTGTCTGTGTCTGTGTCTCTGTCTCTCTATGTCTGTCTGTATCTGTGTCTTTGTCTCTCTATGTCTGTCTCTGTCTCTCTATGTCTATCTGTGTCTCTCTATATCTGTCTGTGTCTCTGTCTGTGTGTCTGTCTCTGTCTCTCTATGTCTGTCTGTGTCTGTGTCTCTGTCTCTCTATGTCTGTCTGTGTCTCTGTCTGTGTCTTCTCGTTCGTCCCTTGTGTTGATTGATGTCTGTGATTTTATTGGAAGCACATTCTTTGGTTGTCGTCGAGGACATCAGTCTTGTTTTGTTTGTTACCATCTGTCATTGGTTTGTCAGGCCTGGAAATAAAACATATAAAGACAATTAGTTTTAAATAAATCAGATCAGATCAGATCAGAACGTCGGTTTGACGCTTCTGAACCTGTGCTTGCAGAGTTTAACGACTACGCCAACCCGCTGGTGTGTGCGGCGTTCGTGGCCATGTGTCCTCTGTGGATCTTCATCGCCCGAAAGATCCCGTCCACCAGAGAAGTGCTGTACTCCGGCTGGGAGCCCGTCATCATCGCCATGGCAATCAGCAGGTGCAGCAGGACTCAGCAGGACTCAGCAGGACTCAGCAGGACTCAGCAGGACTCAGCAGGACTCAGCTCATTCTACATCACACACATCAGACACAGAGATACTTGAATGTGTCCAGTAGAAGCAAAAACACATCCATCCAAAAACAAATACATTTATCATTCTAAAAAATATATAGTAATAGTAATAATAGTAACAGTCATTCAGGTCACAGCACATGTGTCAAAGTCAAGGCCCGCGGGCCAAATCCGGCCCGCGAATTAATTATCTATGGCCCCCGGGACATTGCCTGCCATTGATGCAATGTATTGACCCCTTAAGCTCGCTAGCCCCCGCCGGCGGGAGCAAACGAGGAAAAAAATACTTCTGCTGGCAATAGCAGATGTATTTTGAACTTCATAAGCCACAAGCTATATATCATTTTAAAGCTTATTTTCTCAGCTATATTTATATGTAAGTGTAAACGATATCAGACTTTGCATTAAAAGGATATAACGCATAATATGGGCACAAAATAAATCAGTCTGTATTTGTTTTTTACTTTTCGTCTTCTGCACCAAATTAGACTTTCCCCATCCTTGCTTAGTCTCTTTTTCTCCGTAACTGTTCATTGAAGAAGAATATCCACTTGTATTTCCCAAAGTATAATCCATTCTGCAGATTTAATCAAAAAACGCCCCGAAAAGAGGTCCAGACTGCTCTTTTACATACCACCAAGTTTGAGCTTTTTTTTTTTTTTGTACTATTTTAATGTTCTCAGATGTCTATTACATCTAATATGTACAGTATGAGGATTGGCTTTGGAGCATATTTTATCGAGCCAGCAGGTGTCACCGGCACTGCCTCTGGATGTTGAGAAACATTGAACCAGTCCGGCCCTCGGCGCGTAGCAAACATTTTTTTTTGGCCCTCTGATGTATTTGACTTTGACATGCCTGGGTCACAGCAACAGAGGTGGAGCTTGGTTCAAACCATGAATCCTCTCTGCTCTGGTCTGGACCAGTGTAAAACCATGAATCCTCTCTGCTCTGGTCTGGACCAGTGTAAAACCATGAATCCTCTCTGCTCTGGTTTGGACCAGTGTAAAACCATGAATCCTCTCTGCTCTGGTCTGGACCAGTGTAAAACCATGAATCCTCTCTGCTCTGGTCTGGACCAGTGTAAAACCATGAATCCTCTCTGCTCTGGTCTGGACCAGTGTAAAACCATGAATCCTCTCTGCTGTGGTCTGGACCAGTGTAAAACCATGAATCCTCTCTGCTCTGGTCTGGACCAGTGTAAAACCATGAATCCTCTCTGCTCTGGTCTGGACCAGTGTAAAACCATGAATCCTCTCTGCTCTGGTCTGGACCAGTGTAAAACCATGAATCCTCTCTGCTCTGGTCTGGACCAGTGTAAAACCATGAATCCTCTCTGCTCTGGTCTGGACCAGTGTAAAACCATGAATCCCTCTGCTCTGGTCTGGACCAGTGTAAAACCATGAATCCTCTCTGCTCTGGTCTGGACCAGTGTAAAACCATGAATCCTCTCTGCTCTGGTCTGGACCAGTGTAAAACCATGAATCCTCTCTGCTCTGGTCTGGACCAGTGTAAAACCATGAATCCTCTCTGCTCTGGTCTGGACCAGTGTAAAACCATGAATCCTCTCTGCTCTGGTCTGGACCAGTGTAAAACCATGAATCCTCTCTGCTCTGGTCTGGACCAGTGTAAAACCATGAATCCTCTCTGCTCTGGTCTGGACCAGTGTAAAACCATGAATCCTCTCTGCTCTGGTCTCGACCAGTGTAAAACCATGAATCCTCTCTGCTCTGGTCTGGACCAGTGTAAAACCATGAATCCTCTCTGCTCTGGTCTGGGACCAGTGTGAAACCATGAATCCTCTCTGCTCTGGTCTGGACCAGTGTAAAACCATGAATCCTCTCTGCTCTGGTCTGGACCAGTGTAAAACCATGAATCCTCTCTGCTCTGGTCTGGACCAGTGTAAAACCATGAATCCTCTCTGCTCTGGTCTGGACCAGTGTAAAACCATGAATCCTCTCTGCTCTGGTCTGGACCAGTGTAAAACCATGAATCCTCTGCTCTGGTCTGGACCAGTGTAAAACCATGAATCCTCTCTGCTCTGGTCTGGACCAGTGTAAAACCATGAATCCTCTCTGCTCTGGTCTGGACCAGTGTAAAACCATGAATCCTCTCTGCTCTGGTCTGGACCAGTGTAAAACCATGAATCCTCTCTGCTCTGGTCTGGACCAGTGTAAAACCATGAATCCTCTCTGCTCTGGTCTGGACCAGTGTAAAACCATGAATCCTCTGCTCTGGTCTGGACCAGTGTAAAACCATGAATCCTCTCTGCTCTAGTCTGGACCAGTGTAAAACCATGAATCCTCTCTGCTCTGGTCTGGACCAGTGTAAAACCATGAATCCTCTCTGCTCTGGTCTGGACCAGTGTAAAACCATGAATCCTCTCTGCTCTGGTCTGGACCAGTGTAAAACCATGAATCCTCTCTGCTCTGGTCTGGACCAGTGTAAAACCATGAATCCTCTCTGCTCTGGTTTGGACCAGTGTAAAACCATGAATCCTCTCTGCTCTGGTCTGGACCAGTGTAAAACCATGAATCCTCTCTGCTCTGGTCTGGACCAGTGTAAAACCATGAATCCTCTCTGCTCTGGTCTGGACCAGTGTAAAACCATGAATCCTCTCTGCTCTGGTCTGGACCAGTGTAAAACCATGAATCCTCTCTGCTCTGGTCTGGACCAGTGTAAAACCATGAACACTGAACTGCAGCAACATCTCAGGCAGAAAAAGCAATAAAAATAACAATTGTAAAACACAGAACAACAGTTTCAGAGACACTCAGGACTCGCTGCATTTTCCAGAACATTCTAAAGTAAAATGAGGCGCAGTGGAGACAGAAGACAGGACGACTAATGGATAAATATGAGTGATTTTTTTACTTTAAGGATTAAGGATAGTTTAAATACATATGGTGTGTTACCATCTGCAGCATAGACCCAGAGTTTCCTTGTGTATGAACCGTGCGATACAAATAAACTTGCCTTCCCTTCCAGTGTTGGGGGTCTGATTCTGGACAAAACTGTGACTAATCCAAACTTTGCCGGGATGGCGGTTTTCACACCAGTTATCAACGGTGAGTCCTGCGGGTTATTTCACATACACCCAGACACACACACACACGGAGACACACATACACGCAGACACACATACACACACAGACACACACATAGAGACACATACACACACGGAGACACACATACACGCAGACACACATACACACACAGACACACACATAGAGACACATACACACACATGTACACACACACACATAGAGACACATACACACACATGTACACACACACACATACAAACAGACACACATACACACAAATACAAACAGACACACACATACAGACACACATACATAGAGAGACACTTACACACACACATAGAGATACACATACACCCAGACACACACACACACACAGACACACGTACACACACACATACAAACGGACACACACACATAGATCCACACAGACACACATAAATACAATCATATACACACACACACACACACACACACACACACACACACACACACACACACACACACACACACACACACACACACACACACACACACACACACACACATACAAACGGACACACACACATAGATCCACACAGACACACATAAATACAATCATACACACACACACACACACACACACACACGCACGCACGCACACACACACGCACAGATTTACTGACCGTGTGATCCGTGGCAGGTGTGGGGGGTAACCTCGTCGCCGTCCAGGCCAGTCGCATCTCCACGTTCCTCCACATGAACTCGTTACCGATGGGCGACCCAAGCCCCGCCCCCAGGAAGTGCCCCACCCCCTGCACCTCCTTCCTCAGCTCCAGTAAGTTTTTATGTGTAATGATCCAGGACACTCCACATTCAGCGACACTGATGGACTCTGGTCATCTGCCCCTTATGGACCAAACTGTGGTTGTGTCCTTAGGCAAGACACTTCACCCACATTAGAATGAGTCTGGTGTGTGTGTGTGTGCAGAGCAAAAAGTGTTGAAAAAAATGGTCAAAAATGGCTCAAATTTAGTAAAATGTGTCTCAATTTGAGCACATTCTGACTGAGCCTTTTAAACAAGATTTACCAATAGGACAAAAGGGATCTTAGAATGAGAAAACAAAGCAACAGTTCTTGAAAAAAGACTAAATGAGATAAAAACACCAGATTCAAGTATTTTTTGCAGTGTATATGAAACCAATGCATTAGTATTATTAGTGTTATTATCATTATTATTAAATTGGGTGAATGTAATTGATGTTGACGTCTCTCCTCAGCCGTGAACTCGCGGTCGGCTCGGGTGCTCTTCCTCCTGGTGGCTCCGGGACACCTGGTCTTCCTCTACACCATCAACTCTCTGAGGGGGGGCCACACCACGCTCACCCCCATCTTCATCTCCTTCTATCTGGCCGCTGCTCTGCTACAGGTACGTTAGACTTTAGAGTTTATTAAGGACAATGTGCAGTTACATTAATAAGTTGCTGCTCCAGATTTAGCACCAGCTACTTTCCATCTGTGGTCCTAACACAAAACAATCATAAACGTACTTAATTAAACGTAATTAAAATACAGTTATGTAAGACGTAACAGTCCCAGGTCACAGGAGTGTCCAAACTTTTAACCAAGAGGGCCACTTTAGCTCGCCAGACTTCTCCAGAGGTCGACAACACGGACTGCAAAACTATTTTGATTAGAATAGTTTTTTGGGATGAGGTAAAACATGACTTTATGTACATATACAACATCTGTGAGAGTATTACTAGCTTATAGCTGTCCCACCCATGGCCACAGGGGGCGCTGTGGTACTGCAGACTAAATTCACATTACCCAGAAAAAAGTCCCATAGAACTCAATGTAAACTAAAACAGCTCGACCTCAGAGAACCTGACAGAGAACCTGACAGGTTCTCTGTCAGGTTACCTCTCTAAGGTTACCTCTCTAACCCGAGGTGAATGTCTTTCTCTGTAGCTACATCAGTTTTGTGCCATAATGAAAAACAAATGTCATTGCATACAAATAAATGGATTCAAAAGGTCCAGAGCTTTACAGTGAGGTATAACAGGTAGTAGCCAGTATTGGAGAACATGAACTTGTGTTTATAATCTCAATAGTATTTGAGTTAGCGAGGCATAGGGCCACATAGAATGACACTGCAGGCCGCAAATGACCCTCGGGTCTTAGTTTGGACATGCCTGATTTAGCAGCAAATGGAGACTCTGCAAAATAGTGGTATAAAGTGCAATACAAAGTTACAGTACAGTATTTAGCAGCTATTGGCGGTTTCATGGTGCGACGATGGGGGCCCTGAACCCTGCCCCCCCCCGTGGCTTGGGTCCTCATTCTGTAGCTTAGGTCCTGGATCAACAACCCGTCCGTCCATGTGGATCTCCTCGAGGTTTCTTACTTCTCTCCCACTGGGTTTTAGAGTTTTTCCTCTGATGCAGGAGTCTGTTGGACAGTAAAGCTGCTTCCACACCGCCAACGCTGGAACGCTGAAGCCTTGCCCACCAGACGCACATTCTCTAGTTTTCAGACGCACACCAGAAGTCCTGCTGCGGTGGCGCCCGCCGGAAGTGGCGGAAGTAGCCGGCGGGCTTTGATGCTAACGGATTTAAGCTAGCGGTGTTTTGTGTAAAGTTCTTCTCCAATAATGCAGCTCTGCAGCGAGACTTTATATAACAGCAGTATGTGTTCACGGTGACTTTATACAACAGTAGTATGTGCTCACCGAGGTGACTTTATATAACAGCAGTATGTGTTCACGGTGACTTTATATAACAGCAGTATGTGTTCACGGTGACTTTATACAACAGTAGTATGTGCTCACCGAGGTGACTTTATATAACAGCAGTATGTGTTCACGGTGACTTTATATAACAGCAGTATGTGTTCACGGTGACTTTATATAACAGTAGTATGTGCTCACCGAGGTGACTTTATATAACAGCAGTATGTGTTCACGGTGACTTTATATAACAGCAGTATGTGTTCACGGAGGTGACTTTATATAACAGCAGTATGTGTTCACGGAGGTGACTTTATATAACAGCAGTATGTGTTCACAGAGGTGACTTTATATAACAGCAGTATGTGTTCACGGTGACTTTTATACAACAGTAGTATGTGCTCACCGAGGTGACTTTATATAACAGCAGTATGTGTTCACGAGGTGACTTTATATAACAGCAGTATGTGTTCACGGTGACTTTATACAACAGTAGTATGTGTTCACCGAGGTGACTTTATATAACAGCAGTATGTGTTCACGGTGACTTTATATAACAGCAGTATGTGTTCACGGTGACTTTATATAACAGTAGTATGTGCTCACCGAGGTGACTTTATATAACAGCAGTATGTGTTCACGGGTGACTTTATATAACAGCAGTATGTGTTCACGGTGACTTTATATAACAGCAGTATGTGTTCACGGAGGTGACTTTATATAACAGCAGTATGTGTTCACGGAGGTGACTTTATATAACAGCAGTATGTGTTCACGGAGGTGACTTTATATAACAGCAGTATGTGTTCGCGGAGGTGACTTTATATAACAGCAGTATGTGTTCACAGAGGTGACTTTATATAACAGTAGTATGTGTTCACGGAGGTGACTTTATATAACAGTAGTATGTGTTCACGGAGGTGACTTTATATAACAGCAGTATGTGTTCACGGAGGTGACTTTATATAACAGCAGTATGTGTTCACGGTGACTTTATATAACAGCAGTATGTGTTCACAGAGGTGACTTTATATAACAGCAGTATGTGTTCACGGAGGTGACTTTATATAACAGCAGTATGTGTTCACGGAGGTGACTTTATATAACAGCAGTATGTGTTCACAGAGGTGACTTTATATAACAGCAGTATATGTTCACGAAGGTGACTTTATATAACAGCAGTATGTGTTCACGGAGGTGACTTTATATAACAGCAGTATGTGTTCACGGAGGTGACTTTATATAACAGCAGTATGTGTTCACGGAGGTGACTTTATATAACAGCAGTATGTGTTCACGGAGGTGACTTTATATAACAGCAGTATGTGTTCACGGAGGTGACTTTATATAACAGCAGTATGTGTTCACGGAGGTGACTTTATATAACAGCAGTATGTGTTCGCGGAGGTGACTTTATATAACAGCAGTATGTGTTCACGGAGGTGACTTTATATAACAGCAGTATGTGTTCACGGAGGTGACTTTATATAACAGCAGTATGTGTTCACGGAGGTGACTTTATATAACAGCAGTATGTGTTCACGAGGTGACTTTATATAACAGCAGTATGTGTTCACGGAGGTGACTTTATATAACAGCAGTATGTGTTCACGGAGGTGACTTTATATAACAGCAGTATGTGTTCACAGAGGTGACTTTATATAACAGCAGTATATGTTCACGAAGGTGACTTTATATAACAGCAGTATGTGTTCACGGAGGTGACTTTATATAACAGCAGTATGTGTTCACGGAGGTGACTTTATATAACAGCAGTATGTGTTCACGGAGGTGACTTTATATAACAGCAGTATGTGTTCACGGAGGTGACTTTATATAACAGCAGTATGTGTTCACGGTGACTTTATATAACAGCAGTATGTGTTCACAGAGGTGCGCAATACGTTTTTTTCATTATTAAACAGTATTTCCGCATCGGCGAACACACTGCATAAAGTCACAGTTGTGAACAACACGTATGTTCACAAGAACTATGTCCCCCATTGTCAACCCTGGGTTAGTCCTGGTTTAGTCCTGGTTTAGTCCTGGTTTAGTCCTGGTTTAGTCCTGGTGCAGTCCTGGTGTAGCTCCTGTTTTGGCTGTTTACAGTATGTTCAGTCTGCTCGCTCAGACACTAATGTCCCCGTGACCACTTTGCGGCTCTCTGATTGGTCGCTGCACGAACGTCCGAGGAAACGCTCAGCAATGTTTATCGCCTGCGTGCGTTGATTTTCCGCTCCTGCGTGTGTCTCTACAGAGCAGTCCGTGCGTCTCTACAGAACAGTCCGTGCGTCTCTACAGAGCAGTCCGTGCGTCTCTACAGAGCAGTCCGTGCGTCTCTACAGAGCAGTCCGTGTGTCTCTACAGAGCAGTCCGTGCGTCTCTACAGAGCAGTCCGTGCGTCTCTACAGAACAGTCCGTGCGTCTCTACAGAACAGTCCGTGCGTCTCTACAGAACAGTCCGTGCGTCTCTACTGAACAGTCCGTGCGTCTCTACTGAACAGTCCGTGCGTCTCTACTGAACAGTCCGTGCGTCTCTACAGAACAGTCCGTGTGTCTCTACAGAGCAGTCCGTGCGTCTCTACAGAGCAGTCCGTGCGTCTCTACAGAGCAGTCCGTGCGTCTCTACAGAACAGTCCGTGCGTCTCTAGAGAGCAGTCCGTGCGTCTCTACAGAGCAGTCCGTGCGTCTCTACAGAACAGTCTGTGCGTCTCTACAGAGCAGTCCGTGCGTCTCTACAGAGCAGTCTGTGCGTCTCTACAGAGCAGTCCGTGCGTCTCTACAGAGCAGTCCGTGCGTCTCTACAGAGCAGTCTGTGCGTCTCTACAGAGCAGTCCGTGCGTCTCTACAGAGCAGTCCGTGCGTCTCTACTGAACAGTCCGTGCGTCTCTACTGAACAGTCCGTGCGTCTCTACAGAACAGTCCTGTGCGTCTCTACAGAACAGTCGTGCGTCTCTACTGAACAGTCCGTGCGTCTCTACTGAACAGTCCGTGCGTCTCTACAGAACAGTCCGTGCGTCTCTACAGAACAGTCCGTGCGTCTCTACAGAACAGTCCGTGCGTCTCTACAGCAGTCCGTGCGTCTCTACGACAGTCCGTGCGTCTCTACAGAACAGTCCGTGCGTCTCTACAGAACAGTCCGTGCGTCTCTACAGAGCAGTCCGTGCGTCTCTACAGAGCAGTCCGTGCGTCTCTACAGAGCAGTCTGTGCGTCTCTACAGAACAGTCCGTGCGTCTCTACTGAACAGTCCGTGCGTCTCTACAGAACAGTCCGTGCGTCTCTACAGAGCAGTCCGTGCGTCTCTACAGAACAGTCCGTGCGTCTCTACAGAGCAGTCCGTGCGTCTCTACAGAGCAGTCCGTGCGTCTCTACAGAGCAGTCCGTGCGTCTCTACTGAACAGTCCGTGCGTCTCTACTGAACAGTCCGTGCGTCTCTACAGAGCAGTCCGTGCGTCTCTACAGAGCAGTCCGTGCGTCTCTACAGAGCAGTCCGTGCGTCTCTACAGAACAGTCCGTGCGTCTCTACAGAGCAGTCTGTGCGTCTCTACAGAGCAGTCCGTGCGTCTCTACTGAACAGTCCGTGCGTCTCTACAGAGCAGTCCGTGCGTCTCTACAGAACAGTCCGTGCGTCTCTACAGAACAGTCCGTGCGTCTCTACTGAACAGTCCGTGCGTCTCTACAGAACAGTCCGTGCGTCTCT